AATGATATGTATCATTTGTATAAAAGATTTGATATCAACAATTGGCGCCAAGTCAAATTCAATGTATTTCGAACAAATTAAATTTTACCATTTTATTCCTCCCAAAGAAAAAATAATTAGTAGCAAAGCAAGGTATATCCTCGCTCATGGGATACCCCGCGGGGTGAGGGGCCGGGGAGAAAACTAGACGAGAGGAGTACTGTGGTGAGGGGGGCAGCCAATGACCGAGCTGCTTTTACCTCCCACCACCTCTCGTAGTTTTCCTCCCCGGCCCCCGTCACTACGGGTGCATGTGTGTGTGAGCTCGTGACGTCACGACGCGAGAAGCGACGTGACGAAGGTCCTGTGAGCTCGAGAGCGGAAGGGCGCGAGGGAGTTCGCGCGTATTTTCGCACCAACGCCCGTTCATTCCTTCCCCCCTTGCCCCCCTCGCGTATCCAGAACCTCCTGTGCCGTATGCTCGATCTCGCTCGCACCAACGCTCGCGTATCTAGAATTCCTGTGCCGTATGCACGATCTAGCTCGCACCAACGCTCGCGTCGATGGATTGGATCGAGCGTGATCGAAGATTTTTTCAAGGACATGCCGCGACATGTCACGACACGTTTCGCGGGTGACGTCATCGATGCATTCGATTGTACCACGCACACACACTTTTACTGTCGTGTTTTGTAGAGTGTTAGTTTAATAAATAGATATATTTAAATAAGAATGATTTCCTTTGTGTTAGTATGTGTTTAAGAAAAAGAAATATTAAAAAAGAATGATTTTTACACAGTTTTTTCCTGGTGGATACCACATCCTTATCGGATGCGCCAACACCCGTTCGCTCTCGCTCGCACCGATGCCGTTTAATTGCTCTCACTCACACCAACGTCCCCATGCTGTTCATCTAACGCTCGTTCGATCGCTCTTGTTCATACCAACACTCATGCCGTTCGATCGCTCTCGTTCATACCAACGCTCATACCGTTCGATCGCTCGCACTCACATCTATACCATTCGATTGTTCTCGCTCACACTCACACCCGATGCTGTTCGATCGCATTTGCTCACACTAAACGCCCCGTGCTGTTCACCTGACGCCCATTCTTTACTGTTGGATTTTTTTTAAAGTAGTTATTTAATAAAGAGATATTAAAATAAGAATGATTTCCTTTTACGTAGTTTTTACATATTTTCCTGTTGGGATACCACATCCTTCACGAGAATTTTTTATAAGGGTATCTATTTTTATGCAGCACGTTTGATGGGGGACTATGGTATATAAATGCGTATGGGCGAGGCTTTTTCGTCATACGTAGTTTTTCTGTAACGTTTTGTTGTAGTGACAGTGTAATAATGAGCAATTTACAGAATCTGCTAGAGATCGCATATGAGTTTCCAGTGGACGGAGTAAGTGTGTTTTTACATTAAATATTGTTTATTTATATTGTTGATATAATGTATTTTACTTTTTTTTCAGTACATCACTGTTGACAATGAACGTATCTGCGAGCTACAATTAGCGAATGAGCTAAAAATCCTTAAGATCCCGTTTGTAAGTATAGTAGAATTTATAATATATAACGTATAAATAACAATACGTATCTAACTCACTTTTATGCTCTGTTTCAGACTACAGCCCGTGGAAATATTCATATTAAAAGATTTATGAATATTTTAACTAGACAAATGATACGCGCGGACAGACGGGCCGAACGAGAATTTCGAGCAGAATATATGGATATCTGGGATGACAGGGATCTATTTCTTAATGAGCTATTCAGTGTCCGAACATATGAATCTACTGTTGCAGAGGACATGTGGGAATGTAAGTTTAAATATTTGATTGGTATAAATATAATTGTATGAAACATATGTATACATTACGAATATATCTTCTTACAGAGAGCTGTGGTGGTTG